TGTCTTTACTATTTTCTTACAAGAGTTTATTTGAGCCAAACTGATGACAAGTGCCTGAAAGCAATTTCTCAACGGGTTGGGAAAATGCTCCAAACGGCAGGCAGTTTTGCAGCTTATTTCATACATTAGCGTCAAAAGAGGAGACTTGAGTGGGTGTTACATGAAACCCATGGGTGGGGGGTGAAGGGGGCGGGAGAAAGCAAAGCGGGGAAATCTCTGGGGTGGGATAAAAAGTAAAATGGAGAGACTCTACATTTTACATGGGTGGGTGCAGCAAAGTTAGTAATTAACATTTAAGCACACAGAGATGGTTTCCGGGAACGAGATAACAGTGAGGGGTTCTGTGGTCTCAGCGGCTGTGCCCCGAGGGGCTGGAAAAGGACATGACTGACATTCCAAGGGTCTGTTACCTCAGATGCATAGAGACAACAGACAGTTTCAAAACTAAAGACTGACCTTCGTCAAGAAAGCTACAGGCCCAGGACGTGACCAGCCGCCATGACTCACTTTTAGTCAGGAAGTTTTACGTTCAGACCACCCTGTGTGGTTACTTTCAATGTCTGAGTTTGTAGGGCCTCCCCTGAGCTCCTCAGGTTTAGTATGTGGCTCCTTTTTTGTTCACACTATCATTAAATTAATAACATCTTTTCATATCTTCCTGCAAAACTTAAAAATTTTCTTTGTCTGTATCTTGAACATTTCTTAAGTTCATTCTTAGCTATTTTTTGTTGTCACTCTTATGAGATGTTTTCCATTTTCAAATTGGTCACTGCTAGCATTGAAGAAAGCCATTGATTTGTATATGCTTACCTTATAACACACGTTATTAAATTCTTATTTGTTCAAAGACTTTCTCCATTGATTATCCTGAATTTTCAGGGAAACAGTTTTATTATTGTTTGTTAATTCATTGCTTTAATTAGCAGATACTAACTGAAGCCCTGTCGACTTCCAGGCCTGCGCTCATGGAACCTACACGGTGGGGCGGGGGATGAGGTGGGTCAGGGGTGGCAGTCTTGCCTCTTTCTTTTTGGTGTTTCAAATTTTTCCTTTCTCCTTCCTGTCTGATGGCACTGCCTCAGACCTCAGAACTCGGGCTGCCGACAGGCACCTGGCCTGCTACTGACTTCATGGGGATGCCACTGATGTTGCACAGTCGTGGGCTTCAGGTGGGCCCCTTTTACCTGTTGGGGGTGTAATAGGAACCAGCTTGCGCTGATGGGCGTGGAGGAGAAATTTACTGAGGGCTCTGGAGGGCTCATAGAGTTGCTGTGGGGAAGGCCCAGGTCCCAGCCTTGAAACACGGGCAGGAACGGCGGGCAGCTCACAGCCAGGACAGCTGGTCCCGAGGGTGAACCACTGGCTCCCCTGTGTGCTGGGGCCCGGCACCTCCTCCTGGGTGCTGGGCGCTGCTCCGGTATTTTCGTTTCTATAGACGGAAAGGCAGGGAGCCAGGCAGTGTGCAGGGCTTCAGGTGTGAGGCAACAAGAATGAACCCACGTCCTCAACACACTGGCCTCCCCTCTTCCAGATGACTAAGTTTGTTCTTGGTGTGTATTTCATGTCAGAAATGCTTATTAAATTATTTTTGCTTCTAAAATGATGATTTTTAATCTTTGATCTGTTGGGTATTTCTTAAGATCATCAAAATACTTTTTCTTCTTTAATCTTTTGTTAAATAAATGATTAAGCCATCCTTACAGTAAGTCCCAGGAGAGACCTTACTTGTGATGTATTCACCTTCTGTTTGCTGTCAGTTTAGTCAGCATTTTTCCATGCATATTCCTCGGTGAATACCGCCCAATGTTTTATTTCCTACTACGGTATCATGATGCGATGTTAGCGTCAGGGTTGTACCAACCTCACTGAATGAACTGGTAAAATCTCACTATTTGCAGCCTGAAAACAACATGGAAACCCTCACCGCTGGACAGGCTGAGCAGAGCTCTGTAAACTGCCTGAGCCCCGTCTCTGGGGAGGTCAGACCTTCAGTTACTTGCCAATCACTTCCACTGCTTCAGAGGCCCTTCTTCCCTGAGTCAGCTTTATATTTTCCTGGAAAATAACTTTATTTAGGTTTTTTTTTTTAAGTATAAACGTGTACATGATGTTTATATCATGTTTTAAAATTTCCTCTGAATTTGTAATAATGTCATTTATTGTTCAAAATGTCATTTATCACCAAAAACTTGAAATTAATGAAGACAAATGTGTCTTCTAACTCATTCATTTTGCTTTAATTTTTATTAATTTTATAAAAATTTTACAAATTTAGTAATTTCTTTTATTTAGGGTTTTTTCCCTAGCTTTTAAAACTACCTTGTTCATTTATTTTATTTCTAAAATGCATTGAATACTATATATTTTCATAGGAGTGGCATTTAATATATTGTTTTTAATAAACTTTATTTTTATGACTATTTTTAGAACTACAGAAAAATTATGAAGAAAATCGTACAGCGAGTTCCCACATACCCCACACCTAATTTCCTGTTATTAATGTCTCACAGATTAACTAGAGATCTTATTCTATATAGATTTCTTCAGTTTTTCCCCAGAGTCCTGTGTCCCAGGATCTCGTCCAGAATCCCACATGACACTTAGACTCCTGTCTCCTTGGGCCCCTCTTGGCTGTCACTGTTTTTCAGGGCAGGCCAACTGGAGCAGATCTTCAAGCCACGCGTTTTCTTCCCCATTTCCCACTTGCAGCTTCCTTGATCCCCAACTCTGACTGGGGGCTACTGGGGCTTCCCCTGGGAGCCTGCCCCCACCCTCTCTGCTCTAACCGCCCCAGGCACAAGGCAGGTTTACAGTGATGCTGTTGGGAGTTAGGCCTCAGGCTCTCCACCGTGGGGACATGAAATGATGGAAGTTGCTGGAACTTGTTAACATAAGAACTTTGAAGTCTATAGATAACGTCTTGTAAAAATTTATTTGAGCCAAACAGAGGATACACCTGGAAGCAAGATCTCAACAGACTGAGATAAATGCTTCGGAGAATAAATCTGCAGCTTCTTTCTTGCATTTGAGATTAAGGAGGGGACTAAGGAAGATTTCAAGGAGGTGGGAGGGAGCAGGTGGGGAAGGGATTACAGGACTAACAGTTAAGATTACTGCTCTCCTGAGGGTGGTTCCGCTTATTTCAAAGGCGTTAATGTGGATGCACAGAAACAGTGGGCGGGGCTTCTGATGGCAAAGATGAGCTTTTTGCTAAAGAAGTTACAGACCTCCCGGGCGAGACTACCCATCACCACCTGTCCAGCTAGGAATTATGATCAGACCACCCTGAGGTTACTTTCCGCAGAGCTCCTTTTTTATTTTTTTTTGGTCCACAGACGGGTAGAGGGTTCTACATGGGGAGGAAAATCAGGTTGCAAGAAGAAACATTTCTAGTTAAATGTTTCTGGGTAACCGCCTAGAGACTCCGAGGGCTTATAAAATGTACACATTTTGGTGAGCTTAGCAGGTTGAGGGGTGAGATGCCGTACAGAAATCAATTATCATTCTACATATTAGCGATAAACAATCAAGTGAAACTTTACAATATGGTAACAACAGTAACAGAAATAGGAATATTAGGGCTATGTCTGCCAAGTGTGCAGACGCTGTTCACTGAAGAACAGAACCCTGCTGAGGAGTGAGACAGCACCTCAACCATGGACAAGCAGCCCTCACTCGGGCTGGGAGACAGGATGTGGCAGCTTTCCCAGGGAATGCCTTCCCAGTAAAGGGGCCTGAGAGGAGAGGCCGGGGTGGGAACAGTCTATGAGGGGACGTGCCGTTTGTGTCTGCTTGGGCAGCTGTGTCCTGCGTGTCCGCCGCTGCGCTCATCCTGAATGCTGCAGCAACAGCGGCGTTTGGAAAATACTTGCTGAATAAAGGAGAGAACTGATGTTTGAATGGAAAGAAAGGCCAGAACCTCTACATCCAGAAAGAAAGCTAAGGTTAGTGCCCCTCCGAAGAGGATCCTTATCTAGAAGGGAAACAAAGACCCCCCCCCCCCGTGAGGACAGCAGGGCGTGCTGCGTGTGGCACTGTCCCCGTCACTGGGTTTGGCAGAGACCCAAAGGCAGGCAGGGGAGTGGGAGACTTCATAGTGGAAAG